AATATTATTATTTATTCATTCATTTATTTATTATTATTATTATTGAATAGGTTCTATTTAAAAAACTGTTAAAAGAAAACTATATAGTATCTAGGGTGAGTTTTTCCCTTATATCCTCATTTTAAAGCTAATCATGATTTTTCGAATTTACTGTTTTACAAGAAAGGCAGAAAAAAATAGTAAAGCACTTTATTTATTTTATTCAGATGCCCTATTACAGTCAATAAATACAGTCGAATAAATGTATTAGACCACCTGTTAAAAGAAAACTATATAGTATCTAGGGTGAGTTTTTCCCTTATATCCTCATTTTAAAGCTAATCATGATTTTTCGAATTTACTGTTTTACAAGAAAGGCAGAAAAAAATAGTAAAGCACTTAATTTATTTATTTTATTCAGATGCCCTATTACAGTCAATAAATACAGTCTAATAAATGTATTAGACCACCTGTCATAATAAAAACAAATATTTTAGGAATCTGTCAAAAACTTGTTTAAAACTAAAAATTGTATTGTCATTTTATTAGACAAATAACAAACTGAAACAACTAAATAGTCTTTATTTACACGTAAATAACCAAAATACTTAATATTTTGTATGGCTTCCTTTGGCCTTGATAACATCTTGCATTCTTGCTGTTGTTATTGACTGTAATAGGGCATCTGAATAAAACAAAAATTAATAAAGTGTTTTACTATTTTTTTCTGCTTTTCTTGTAAAACAGTAAATTCGAAAATTAATTGATAACAACTATAATTATATTTTAGCATTAGAAACACTACTGTGACTAAAGAGCTTACACATACTGGTGGATTAACCAATATAGAAACATAAAAAAGGAGCTAATCACCCATACTGTTAGTTTAGGGCAGCTGTGGCACAATCCTTACACTGGGTGGTGGTCTAATAAATTAGTTAAGCACTGTATATGTAAAACATCAGTTAATCTAAGTGCTTATCTCAAAAAAGCTTAATTTTGGATTTGATTATTAACAATCCATTAGTCTGCATGGTCTGACTTCCTAATCTTGTGTCTTACAGATTCGGGGATGACATTTAAACCATTGGGTCGAGCTCTTGTTCCTGATATCACCGTTGAGAAGCCTGTTACCCAACTCAAGGACATAGACCTTGACACGGAGAGCACCATCCTGTAAAAATGGCCTTGACCCCAAACACCCTTTCCCTTGACCAAAGGTTTGCTAAAGGGCTGCTCTTCTCACCATTACCAAAGTGTTTATCATCTTGGCTGTACTTCTCGAATACCCTACGCTTAAGTCAATCAACAATCCCAGTGGCACCAGGGAAACGGATGCCCCGAGATGTTGGACGTTTATTTAAACATGCCTTTTCATTGTAATGGCAGCAAAAAAAATGACCTGTATTGCATGAGGAACTGGGTTGAGAAACAAGAAACTAATTTGTTTGTTACGAGGTACTTGGAGGTGAGTCTTAAGTGGCCTTGGCTAAACAAAGCAATTACTCAATTTAAAAGGTGGAAGACGCTTAAAAAAAAAAAAGAAAAGAAAGAAAGAAAAACTGTGGCTTTATGTATAAGCTTGTGACTGCAGGTCTCCAGTCAGCTAATACAATACAAATACAGTACATTCCTTTTTTTCATTTGCAAGCCTTACTTTCCCAGTTTGGAAACGAGTTACATGCAATTCATTGGTTTGAGGTATGCGAATGTCAAATGATTAGTTTTCTGCCTTTCACAGCTAATAATTTCAGAATTTTGGGGCATTAATATGACTGGACCTAAACATGTGTGGTAGAGCACTACTCGGCTATGTGTAAAAGTAATCCTGATTGGTTCATATGTGAAAGAGGTCATTTGTTATTGGACATTTGATTGGGAAAATTAGAAGTAAAGTGTTCAGCTGTCAGTTTATGTAATGGAAAAGGTCAAAATATGTGCTTTAGTGATATTCTGGTATGGATACTTTATGCTATGGCTTTGTTTGTATGTTTACCAGGCCTTGACAATGATAGCTTTGTATTTCCCTCCTTTTACTCCTGCCAAAGTGGGGAAAAATGTGCCACTTGGACGTTAGTCTTACTGTATAATAGCTAAGAGGAGACATAATTGCTTAAATTTTTCCCTCCTTGTCTCGTATTCTATAAACTCTCGATCATAATTATCTATTAAAACCACCCAAAGTTGTTTTGTTGATATTTCAAATGAACCATTTGACCAAATCACAAGAATGAACCCCAGTGGTGATGATTATCAGCCTGTCAGACATTATCTAGTGTGAACAGCTTGCCGAACAGTTACATGGTGACTGCTTCATGCTCTTTTTCAAAAACAACATTTGGAACCTGATTCTGATCGGTGTGGGAGAGAAAAATGTAGGCGTTCGTGCTCACTGTTAGCGTTTCTTTATACATTTTCCTTGCCTTTACCATGCTGCCTTACCTAAGTACACTTACCTAGAGCTATTTTACCAAGGTTTGGAGAGTACACTGACTTCACACTTATGAAACGAAAAGTTGATGGTGCATTTGAAGTTCAGAGCATTCACGTCAGAAGACTACATCTTTATTGAATTTGGAAAAAGACAAAAAAATGCTTTGTATTACTGCTTCAAAGTGAAATAAAAAAGTGAAACAAGAACCGGTGTTTCAATAGTTCATTGTGTAGTTGTTGACTTCTCAAATTTAGTTTAGTTACGTATATTTATTTATTTCTAAATGCAAATTAATTTTCTTCACCAGTAGTTTTGGATTTATAGAGAGCACACAAAAAATTATTACACCATTTGAAGTTAACTGTGACCACCTACACTATAAATGAACACCACCAATGCCTCTAATTAGAGTCCATTAATGGTTTTATACAGACTTGAATGGATATGTGGAGAGAATGTGACAATGAGCTGAGAATGACTATTTCTCCAGCTGAACTAACACCTCACACTTGCTGTGTATGCCATCATTCAGTTGACTAAAATGTTGTATGCTCATTCATTTAACAACTTATTCTAGTCTTTTTACACACTGTGTAAGCTTTCATTGTGGGAAATTACATTTGGCAAAATATTGTCTTCTCTACTCCTATACAGCCTGCAGGGGACCAACTGACTGTTCATTATTTTGCTTATTACATACAAAAACATTATTTTTATTTTATATGTAAAGAAAGAAACCATGTGATAAACAAGTGGCACAGCTTTGGGGAATCAATTAGGACACTAGTCAATTATTATTAGATTTTAAAACATTTGACTACAGAATAATCACAATCGACCAACCAGAATCGAGATTTACAGATATCACTAATACTTATTCATGCATTAATATTGGTCAGTTGTGTTTCTCCTCATTCTGATCTTTCAGCACCTTGGTATAAAGGACTGATATAAACCTCATTCTAAAATGTCATTTATTTATGAAGAGAGGATTTAGCCTTATACTTTGCTTTTTTGTCTCAGTAAATTACTTTTTGTGTGTTTATGTGTAATTAGATGGTTTAAGGTTCTTGATAAAGATGTAGGCAGGGGTTTATAATTAGTAATTTTCATGTATCCTCTTACTCTGTATACACATATCTAAGATCTTTGGTATTTGAAGAATTTATAGTGTTGCCTGGTAACGAGAACATTATGATGAAGTTAGTGGAGAGTGCCTGGAAAAAAAGATTTTTGTATAATTGTGAAAATATAAATGCAAAAGAGAAATCACTTTACAAACTGACATGATTAGATAGTTGAAGATACTCCTTTAAATCAGATTTAAAACTGTTGTTAAATGTGACAAAGTAACAATAAATAAATAGCCTATAACTTTTTAGCCTATTGCCATGAAAAAAGCAGCGTTTATTAAGCTACTATTTTTCAAAAGTATACTCATTGCTTTGTGTACAACTTGTTAATGAGGACGAAATTACTGCTGCTGCATTGATGGAGCGTGGTCTTAAAGAAGACCTCCATAAATGGATACAGTTTCAGTACAAAATAATTCCACAGAGATGAATTTCCGCAAAAGCGTATTTATTCAGGCAAAACAATTTAGACGTCTGATTAAAACGCAGCAATATGTGGCCTGTCGATATTGAAGCCGGTATAGAACTGCTCAGGAAAACACTAGGCTAGTCACGCCAACAGTTTGTACACAAATTAATTTACAACTAATTAATTTGGTCAAACAAATTCAATATAACAAATCGATACAGAAACAATCAAAACAGGAATACATTACATAAATAGAAATACTCTGCTACATGCAAATTGTAGGTTTTCTCCGACGAACAATTTATAGAAAGAATGGAGGTTCTGACAAGGAACTAAGAAAAATAAACATAAATGACACAAAAACAGGCAATAAGGAAGATCATGCATTTGTTCAAGAAGAAATGCATTATTGTTATCTTAAACAATAGTACCTACAAAAGTCAGACAAGCTACATACTCGTTTTAAAAGAACTCAGATGATATGTGTACCCCTCTGCCATTTAATAAAGTGAAGCTTTTGCATTTTCTTTTCATAGTTGAAAACCAATTTCATGATGTAAAACCTACCACAGATTCTCATGCGGGATGAAACCACCGATCAATTATAGGCTACAACTAATATTGCAATAAAATACAAATGATCATTGATTTGGAAAATAGTTTTGTCCTCACTTATGAAGGATGCACTCTTGTTCTGCTATAGTATTGGCGTATCACAATGGAGTACAACAATAAAACACTAATTCTGTGAAGAATTTAAAACTCATTTGAAACTGTGTGTATGTGTGCGTGTGTTAAAACACATTTGGCTTGAGGATGAGTAAGTTCATCATGAAAACATTCATTCACCTCGGTTTCCAAAATATACCATCAAAAACACCATCAATCCTCTCCACCTGAAGTGTTCATGTTCCGGTTACATTCTCTAGCAGCTGGAAATCTCAAAACAAAATTATTAATTCGATTATATTAATATACTTTCTTGACAAACACGCTGAAGTTCAGTATAAAAAAAAAATATATATATATATATATATATATATATATTATTTTTAATTCATCCAAGACATTTAAAGTAAGGTTTGTTTCCTTTCACGCTATCAAGTTCCCTGTTTTTATTGGCACATGGGCATTCTGGGTTAGAAACAGCAGATGCTGTTGGTTTCACCAGGCCAGCGGCGAAGCTATTCGGGGGCTTCTGCGGATTTCTGTTCCTTGCGTCTCACTCAGTGCTCTCTGTTGAATAGAAACACGGCAAACTCTTACTTCATGACATGGTGTCATTTCATCTGTGAAAACGGCAGCATTTCAGAAACTCACCTCAAATTTGGAGATAAATTCAGCAAAGATGCCAAAGAAGGTTTCTGTGGTCGTGGCTTTACTGTCTTCTCCAAAATACGAGGCCACTTTATGAAATTCATCCATTGCTCTTTGCTGCAAGGAGTCTAGGGACTGCACAGCTGGATGACAGTTTTCCAGAAAGCTCTAACATAAGAGTCAAGGGCTGATACACACTGCAACGGAAGTTCAATATACATATTCTCACAGGATATGTGTTTTTATTCTTTTCACTAACAAACTCATTCTAAAAATGCTGTTGGTTGGTGGATACATTCATAACCAATGCGAAGCGATCCTCTGCTGTAGCTGGGATTTTCACACAGGCGGTTCTTATTTCCTGGATGGTGGAGTGAAGGTCACTGAGCTCAGCAGTAATGGTCCTTTGATTGACTGCATTTACAGTGAAAATATGTCAACACCCATTCTTTTTCAATACATTTAATTGACATTTTTGCAAATATTATGTCTGCATTTCCACAAAAACCAACAGCAGAAAATAACATTTTTGAGGTCAGTACGATTTCTTTTAAAGAAATTAAAACTTTTTTTTCAGCAAGGATGCATTAAATTGATCAGGTAAAGATGTTACAAAAGATTTCTATTGCAAATAAATGCTGTTCTTTTGAACTTTCTATTTATCAAACAATCCTGAGAAAAAAAAAAGTACCACGGTTTCCACAAAAATATTAAGCATCACAATTTTTGTCAACATTGATAATAATATGAAATGTATTACACAATATTATTGTTTTTACTGTATTTTTGATCAAATACATGCAACCTTGGTGAGCATGAGAGACTTATTTAAAAAACATTTAAAAATTCTTACCGACCCCAGATTTCTGAACAGTGGTGTACAGTATATACAAATATCTAACAGGAAGTTGTTCTGATACCTTACCTTTGGCAGCTAGTGGCACTGTTATGAGGTCCCTGGCGAAGTTGAGGAGTTCTGGGAAGTGTTGGCATAATGATTTGGCAAGAATATGGAGGAAAGTTGACTTTCCATCGACAGTTTTTGTTGTGTTCAGCTGGGGAGTATTATAATTCATTATTAGAATAAACATAAAAAACATCATATGAACAATATTTAATAAAAACATTGCAATGTTTTCTCGGTAATTATTGCAAACATACCTCAGTAAGAAAATTAATTTTGAATCCTGTTGTTTTATTCGTCTTGGGTTGACCATTATTCAGATAATTTCCCATTGCTAAAACAAACTAAAAACACGAAAAGAGTACATACTGTCAGAATAATATTTAAATGAACTCCTCTGCAGAAGATTTATAAAAGATAAAAGGTTTATAATTTAATTAAGTGTTTTACCTCCAGGATCTTGGCCAACCTCTTGCTGTTTTTAAGCTCTAATGAGGCTTTGTATATGCATTCATATGCGCCTCTCATTTCTTCTGTTTTCTCCTGCACGGTGGTCTTAAAAAGAAGACACCTCAATCTGGTTTTATACTCAGGAACTAGTAGCATCTGTAGAACAAGCCCACAAGAATCAATTAATACTTACATGAATTATGACTGGTAAACCAGCTGGAACTCAGGTAAAACAGTACCTGTAGGACAAACTTGTCGGGCTCGCTGAGCTTGGCAGGGTCCTGGTCATAATGCTGAAACCGTTTTACCTCCTCGTCGTCGGGAGCGTAAAGCAACAGTTGTTTAATGTGTGCGGGTTCCAGACGCTCGGTGCTCATGGTCATGAGAATTTCTCGCAGTTCCTTCGGGGACAGCTTCAGATGCGCTATGAGGATAGCTGAACAGGGCAGCAAATGTGATGAGACATGGATTCTTAAGCTTCTCATTGGGAAAATTCCCACACAGTTGCTACAGTAGCAAATACCTACAGCACCTCTTTAACCTACTCCTACACATCTACGTCACATGTGACAACAAACCTGACTCAACCCAGAGCACTTTAACACAACCCCACTCATACTCACAAGCGTTGTAGGCCTTTTTATAGGAGAGAATCTCAACCACGTCTTTCTTTTTAAAGTTCTCAGGCAGGAAAGTGGGCTCTGGAAGAGAGACTGACACATTTAATAACAGTGTAAGCATGAGCTCTCCTCGCACCAGTACTGGAGACAATATACTATATGAAGGGTTATGAGACTGAAAAGAAGCTGTAAGACGCCAATAACTGGATGAGAATGATGGGATCTGAGACAGATATAGCACTCCATGAGAGATGAGCTGAAAAGTACAAAAATAGACAAGGTAATTGAGTTCATTTTCACCATCAAAATGGCAAGCTACAAAACGGATGCCACATGTGGATGAAGACTGCAATATACAGACAATGTTGAGATGTTGTTAAGTGTCTCTAAAAGACTTTCCCCCTGTCTGAATTTCTAGTGTAAAGTATACAGTATTATATTGCTTTATATTATATTACATGATGACATGTTTAAATGCCATATAAATCGTAACAAAAGTTTGGGGTCAATAATTTCTTTTTTTAAGAAATTAGTACTTTTACTCAGCAATGATGCATTAAATTGATCAAAAGTAACAGCAAAGACATTTATAATGTTACAAAGAAATATATTAAGCAGCACAACCATTTTCTACATTGAAAAGATATACTTTTTGAGCATTATAAGCACATATTGACACTTAAGACTTTAATGGCAGCTGCTTTTTATTTATTTTTATAAAAAAAAAACATTACAAAAATCTTTCACCATACTTTTGAATAGTAGTGTAATACATTTTATTATTTAAATAAGTCATCAAATTAACTAATATCATTAATTAAGAAATATAATTATATTGCGTTAAAATGTTTTATTTTTAAATTATGAAAAAAATTAATTCCTTCACCGTGATTACACTCAAATAATAACTACAAGAAGAATTGCATTTTGTTGTGTTTTTTATGGTTCACGAAGGGTTTTGTTTTAAATTCATAGGTTTTGATTGATGATTTGAAGACATTCAGTGTAAAAACACAGAAAATCAGATGGGGGGCAAACACTCTTTCACAGCACTGTGTGAAAAGTGGGTGATGATGAATACATGCAATACTACATTAAATTAGCTATGACAAAATAGAGAACTTACTAGAATTCCTCTGTGTGCCAAAGTACAGATCCAGATCCAGGTACTTGACCATGTCACTGAGTTTATGATAGTCAGGATCATCTCCAAGCTAGAAAACAGATTATCACTACTTAATAATGGCCTGCACCTACACTTCACCATGGTTCTGATGTAAACTGTGGTTGTTACGCATCACCAACCAACCTGTCCCCAGATAGTTCCTTCAGAGTTCTCCACCTGCTGCCAGCGCAGTCTTTTAACACTCATGTGGTTGTTGTCAGAGGCTTTCAGGCTGGCTTTGGGCAAAGGTGGAGGACCACAAGGTGGGGGTAAAGGAAGTGGCGGTGGTGGTGGTGGGGGAACCTTGGTTGAGAGTGTGCCTTCATAGCTTTGTTGGGAATGGAGGCTCTTTTGTTTGGTCACGTTAGGGGAGGTTCTGGAAGCAGAGGTCTGCCTGCTCTGGTAGACTGACTGGGTGGGATGCCGCAGGTGAGTGTGCTGTGTGGTTGCGTGCGGGGGTTGAGGGGAGGTGTGCGGGGTTGACTGTAGGATGGGGTGAGCCTTTGGTTGGTGCAGCTGCAGAACGGATTGCGCGCTGGGCTGGGGAGAGGAGCGTCGAGGATGGGTGTGCTGGGTCCTGAACTCCTCACGGGTGGGCAGCACCTTGTGCAACGAGGGGCGGTTAGTAAGGAAGGACCGAGGTGGAGGTGGGGGTGGAGCTATAATGGGGTGGTGCTGGAAGGCTGGGGGAGGTTGGGGCAAGTGCTCTGGGGTGAGGGGATGGGCCGAGGGTGGGTCGGTGAACTGGATGGGAGGTGGTGGGGGCGGAGGACTCTGAGGGGGAGGGGGGATGTGGTCAGACCCTGAGGAGTAGGAGACTGAGGTGGAGTCATCGCTGCTACTGTGGTCTTCACTGCTGGCACTGCTTAACTCATGAGGCAGCATGTTCACTTCCTGGTCATCCTGGAAACTCATCTGCCAGTGTCACAAAGACAATTAGGGCTTTGAAAAGCAAAAACATGTATGAAACATAAATGTATATAAGGCTCATCTTAAAATATATATATTAAAAAAATGTGACCTTACATATGAAAAGTGCACATAGTGAGGTAGATATGTGGGGGCGTGTTAGAACGAGCCATTTTAGGGGGGCGTGGCAGAGTCTTAACTTTGATAAAGAATATCTCTTTGGTTTTGAGACTTTAGTCTTTGCAACTTCAGGGATCTTATCTATGCACAATCAGCTTGTAACACTCCAAAGAGAAAGGAAAACTTGAAATTGCATAGTATGACCCCTTTAAATATGATGACCCTCCAAGAAAAGTGTTTTGAAGAATGGATAGAAAAAAAATGATGATAATTTTGTGTACAATTTATATAAATAAATGCTTGTTTGTGATTATTTTATTATATTTTTGTGACATTTAATTGGCTGTGTCTGGCACAAACCTCCTCATAGTCATTCTCCCCTCCTTTAAAGTCATCCACGATATTGACCCTGTGGCCCAACTGCTCGCTCAGAGCATCCAGGAACTTGTCAGTGTCTCGGCTGCGAGGTGGCCGTGAGAAGGTAAACAGCTTCCTGCGCTGGGGCAGAGGACTGGGCTCATCAGAAGGCAAGGGGGAGGCTGGGGGGCTGTCAAAACTAACATAAGGATTAGAGTCCACACTGTCTGGAGAAGGAACAGTCTGCTGGTAAGGCTCGAACTGAGAGCCAGGAAAAGATTCAGTCCATGAAAGAGAGAGGCCTGACTTACGGTTCCCTGCAAAATGAACAAACTCATGAGGAACATTTATAGTACACTTATGAGAGATCTTAATAAATGTTCTAAAAAGTTTTAAAATGAACAAGACCAAGAACTACAACATCCTAATACATTACATTTGGGATTTTCAAACTTGCCATGGCCCTTCTTGTACGGGACCTCTAAAATAACTGGCTCATATATTGTCATTGCAAAACAAACAATTATAATATTATCTGTAAAATATTTAATTTCAGTTGGAGATGACACCCATTTTAATGTTAGAATTATCATCCAAATCTGAAGAGAAAAATGAAATGAAAAATGAATTGAATTTTTAATTTTTTACTCTTAAAATCTATTACTGTAAACAAAATTTATATATATATATATATATATAATTACAGTTAATGATAACCAACTAGTCTTTAGAAAGCCAAGAAAAAAAACTGTAATAATGTTAAAGAAATTATGGTAACACTTTACAATAAAGTCCCATAACTAACAATGAGCCATACATTACAATATTTATTCATCTTTTTTAATATTAGTTGATAAAAATACAACTCATTTTTAGTTCATGTTAGCTCAGGTTCATTAACTAATGTTAACAGATTTTTTTATTTAGATTTAGTTGAAATTAGCGTTAACTAAGATTAATAAATGCTTTAGAAGTATTCCCCTACCAGCTCCTTGTGGCTCCCTGGACCCCAGTTTGAAAACCCCACGTTATATCTTGCACAGCCGTTATCGCAGTATCTGTGATCATAATCATGGCTGTCTCTTTTTTAGAGGCACCATGTGACAGTTGTGGATGTCAGAATAAGATCAGAATACCTGTGTTACTGTGTGTGAAAGACTGAGTGTATGTATTGTTCTCAGTGTGGCCCATGCCGACAGCCCTGGGTGAGGAGTGACTCTGGAGAGACTGGTTGCTCTTCCCGGGATACACGTTCTCAAGCTCCGTGTACACTCCTGACATCTATGGGTTGGGGCATGGTTAGATGAGATGATTTCATAACAGCAGTGATGACAGCGCTATGAATTGTGGATGAGCAGTAAATGGTACCCACGTGGCTGAGATCTGGGGACTCTGGGAAGGAAGTCCCATCCCCACACTGTCTTTCCTCTGGAGTCACAGGGTCAGTGAATGTTCCTGAGACACAGAGAAAGTGCTGTCCAGAAACAGAGCATGTGCATAGAAAGCTGCTTGCCCTTCAGGAGCTAAATAGAGACTGAGGGCAGTCAGCTTTAGCAGCGGGTCTGGGTGGTATAGGTGGCTGAGAGGTGCACAGCACTTGCAAGCAGTTTATAGCTTTTGCCTAATAGATGCTGCATGGTGAATCATAAACATGGCTGAGATAAGTTCTGACTGCTTGTTTACCCCACAAGAGTGACAGTATCCCAGCAGGCACACAATGTCATAAGATGTTGATATTTGGTTCAATTTCAGTTGTGACGTCGGGTGACCAAAATTCAATGTCAATTCAACATCTAATATCAACGTTAATTTGATGTCCAATATCGACGTCAGCTGACGTTGATATTTTGTTGTTTTTAGGTTGTGTAACCAAAATCCAACATTAAGTCGGCGTCAAATTGATGTCAAATACTGACGTCAACCCGATTTTCATTCTCAACCAAAATGCAACGTCTGTCCGAGATTGGGGACCATCGTCAACCTGACATTATATTGACGTCCGGTGCCTGCTGGGATGGCATGGCTATCTGAAACAGTGTTTATGATGGAGCAATGAGTAGCATAAACAGTATTCTATATAAACTTATTGGCCTATATCAATGTCAATTCTATGTCATATTATCAGCAGGATCTAAAATGTCCAATAATCAAATAAGAGTAAAAACTGATTTTGACAAGAAAATAATAAATATGTTACACTACTATTCATAAGACTGGGGTAAGAAAGATTTTTTTAAAAGAAATTAACACTTTTATTCAGCAAATATGCATTAAATTGATCAAAAGTGACAGTAAAGATATTTATAATGTTATAAATTTTTCAAATGTTCAAATGTTTACAAATATGTAAAATGTGTTAAATTTTTATATAAATATAAAGGTATTTCAAATTAAACCCATTCTTTTAAACTTTCTATTGACCAAAGAATCCTGAAAAAAATGCATCACGGTTCATGCATCAAGTGTTGTAAAATAGAAATGTAAAATATTTATTTTAAATTGTAATAATATTTTACAATATTATGATTTTTACTGTTTATTTACCAAATAAATGCAGTCTTGGTAAACATAAGAGACTTCTTTTAAAAACATGGGGGAAAAAATGCACCGGCCCCAAAACTTAATTGTAGTGTATATGTACATATAATGAATAAAATAATTATTTTATACAATATTATAATGTTCATGTTTTCATATGTGTTTAGTGTGGAAAAAGTTCATTCTGGACCCTGCTTTTTAGTCTAAAACCAAAACACTAACAGGGGAAAATATCATACCCATTCCCAGGTGAGTGCCGATAATGCAGTCGTCTGAGCTTCTCTCTCTCACAGTGTTTTTGTGAGAGGTACCTGACACTCGCATGGAGCTGCTCCGTCTGTGGGTTTCTGGACCTACCTCTGGTTCTGCGGTAATAAAAATGCACAATCAGAATACATTCAGGACAGAAAACCACTGACGTTCACACAGTAAACTCACAGCTAACCTGCACTCTTGAAGCCCAGGAAGCGGGCGATCTTGCTCTTGCAGTGTTCCTGTTCCTCGTAGGTCAGCAGCTGGTAAATGAACTGCCAAATCAGCTGCTTGGCTGGAGTGTCCAGCACTGGAAACACATCTACAATGAGTGTGTCCACATTCCTGTTTACATGCAACAGAGGGAGCCATTTTAGAAATAATTGGGCTGCTCTCTCAGCAAGCAGTCGCACCAGTGAGCATTATTTATTACATTTGGAAGAACCCACAGATTGTTCCTGATTATGAGTATCTATTTGTGCTTGAGGCTGAAGCTATTTTTTGAATGCTTTTCATATTTGCCTTGCTGCTGCCAAGCGGCAGAAAATCCCTCACTGTGGGAACAGTATGCTATGATATTTGGAATCATATGGCAGGATGGTTACAATCTATAAGTGTTAATTATCTCTGTTGCCTATAATTGGCTAACACATTTCTTACTCGTATGCTTTTTTGTCAAACATCGCATTGGTCAGAAATCATTCTAATATACAAATTTTGGTGCTCAGTTATTATTATTGGTACTCAATTATCAATAATGATTCGTATTAATACCAATGATAAAAACAGTTTTGCTGCTTAATATTTTTGTGGAAATCATGATATATTTTTTCAAGATTCTTTGATTAATAGAAAGATGAAAAGAACAGCATCTATTTGAAGATTATAGAAATAATTTGTCACTGTATAAATGTCTTTACTGTCGCTTTTGATCAATTTAATTTGCCCTTGCTTAATAAAAGTTTTGCTTTCTCTTATTTAAATCTTACTTTCCCCAAACTTTTGAATGGTAGTGTATCATTTTTACACAAAAATATTAAGCAGCAAAAACTATTTTCAGCATTGATAATAGTAAAAAAAGATAGATATATATTTGGAGCAGCAAATCAGCATATTAGAATGATTTCTGAAGGATCATGTGACACTGAAGACTTAAGTAATGACTGCTAAAAATTCAGCGATGCCATCAAAGCAATAAATTACATTTTAAAATATATTACATCAAAAACAGTTCTTTTAAATTGTAATAATATTTCTCAATATTAATGTTTTTTGTTGTACATCATAAAATAAATGCAGCCTTAGTGAGCAGAAGAGCCTTCAACAACATTAAAAAAATCTCTATATAAATTTAAATAATTAAATAATTCCAAACTCTTGACCTGCATGTAACAAAAGCATATGTACTGTTGTTATAGTCGAAGTTGAGACTCAAACAACTCCAAAAGCAACCACCAAATCTAATCTCTAATCACAAGCATGCTGGAAGCCACATTTACAATTCATTTTTACTTTGATAAAACAGTATTTAATCTCAGTACTGCCTTCCTCAGCTAATATAACACTAAAGTCATGTGTCTTCTCCCACTCAGCCATGATGAATTTTGACCTGACCTGTGCTGGAAGAAGGTCTCCAGAGCTTTGCAAATGGTATATCTTTCTTGTAGGGTGAGGAGGTGTTGAAGTTGCTGGCTGAAGGTACGGCCGTGCACGCGGATGCTGGGAGGCAGGATCTCAGCTACCCACTGCAGGGAGCTGAGGGCCGGGGAACGCGAGCGGGGGATGGTGGGGGTCTCCTCTGACTCTGAATCTGAGAGCGGATAGTCTACAGGGCCCTCTTCCACCACTAGAGTGGGCATGGCGCCACTGCCCTGCAGCATGGATACCACCTTCTCATGGGAGCAGTTCCTAATGTACACAGAATAGAATTAATGTGTGATCAAATTAAATAATGTGTATAATATAATATAATATAATATAGGGCAAAATGGGGTGCAAATAGCATGTTTTCTTAAATAACTCTTAAAAATAAATGTACAGTAGGTGGACATTTTTTATTGACAATTCTATGCTTGTCAGTCCCCCGGAGACAGTATGAAGTAAATTAGTGTGCTCTTGAGATTAACAATTTCCCATGGCGACGGGAAACTGATTTACATGTAGGCCTAAACAAACGATCTGAGAAAGCTTGTGGTTTGTTAAGGAGCAGTCGAATAATGTAAATGCATAATATGAATATTTAATCTAATAATAGCTTGTTTCCAACCTAACTAACAACTTTACTCATCACCATATTGTTACCTCTCAAAATAACACCCTTCAAATCATCATATAACAGTCCCATAAAATACTAAAAGGTCTCTGTGTTACTTGTCTTTTGTCGAAAAGTCTCTTATGCTCACCAAAGCTGCATTTCTTTAATCAAAAATACAGGAAAAACTGTAATATTGTAATATAATTAAAAATTATATATTATATATTTTAATATTTATTTATTTTATTTTTATTTAGTCATTTAGCAGATGCTTTTCTGCAACACCTCTCTCCCCAGTCTAACATGAACGAACTTTACTCATCACCATATTGTTACCTCTCAAAATAACACCCTTCAAATCATCATATAACAGTCCCATAAAATACTAAAAGGTCTCTGTGTTACTTGTCTTTTGTCGAAAAGTCTCTTATGCTCACCAAAGCTGCATTTCTTTAATCAAAAATACAGGAAAAACTGTAATATTGTAAAATATAAAAATTAATTAAAAATAATATATTATATATTTTAATATTTATTTATTTTATTTTTATTTAGTCATTTAGCAGATGCTTTTCTGCAACACCTCTCTCCCCAGTCTAACATGAACGGCTCGAATAGTTCCTGAATCAAATGAAGACCCGCCTTCTGAAATACGAAATGTGCTGTGATTGGTTAGCTGGGCCAGTGTGTGTTGTGATTGGCTCCACTCTGCGCCTGGTCGGGAAATGTCATGCCCCTTACCATAGCCACCTGCGAGCTTCAGTGTAAATATTGTGTCAAAATCAAATCAATTTGAGCACGATTTAAACCCGGATGATTGTAACCACTCTAAGTTCGTCTGCCTTGGGAAAGCTAGCGTGTCTCCGACATAGTGATAACCCTCGTTGCCTTCTCTAGTGCAGCTCAACCAGGTCTCGTCCCATTCGTTGATATTTGTGATATCACAAATCCAGAAAAATATGCGTTGTAGTCCAAACGAGTCGTTCGTTGTAGTTTTTGAAAAGTGATTTCTGTTAAATAAAATATCTCCCTTTGAAGTGGACTTTGAACTTTGTAACTTTGCAGATATTTTTTATGCTCAAACAGCAACATTACAGACTAACTAAAGTTGAAAAAGTGAAAAAGCATAATAGGACCCCTTTCATTTCTTTTCGATGGGGGTGGAAAAAAATTATGAGGAAATTATTATTCAGTTGAATTAAGCGAACTAATCCTTTAATATTTTTGAGAAAACCATTTTTTTTTAGGATTCTTTGATGAATAGAAAATTCAAAAGAACAGAATTTAAAAAAAAATCACTGTCTTTACTGTCACTGTTGATCATTTTAATGTGTCCTTACTGAATAAAAGCTGACTTAATTAAAAAAATATATTATGACCCCAAGCTTTTGAATGGTATTGCAAATAAAATGATTAGGTTAGGTGAAATTCCGACACATTAGGTTAACTTGATTACATGTTTCTGAGAAATCACTTAATTATTAATAAATAAATTAATTGTGTATTCTTAGATAAGTTTACCAGAGTATCTACTGTAATATATCATATTCACTGATATACAACTTTTAAAGCATCATCACAGCATAACAAAATAAACACACCTCATGTCTAGGCCATTGAGGAACAATATGCGGTCTCCTGGTTTAAGGCCACACGCCTCGGCTGGACTACCTGTAATGGGAAAACATGGATTTAGGACTGAGAATGAAACCTCAGACACTTGCAGTGAATAATACACCCAAACCCACAAACAATCCTTCAGTGAACCTGTAATACTGCTGTCTTGAAGCCCAGTGTAATACTGCTGTCCTTTGTGATCGGTTGTAATTAAAACACTACAAGATATCCCGACATAGGTCTGAAAGGGAATGTAATCTGTTTTTTCGTCACAATGCTAGACTCCTACCAGTTTTTATAAGCAGCCCCACACAGGCAGCTGAGTCAGTGTTAACTAGCTTTAACACAGGCCTGCAGTGGGCGAATATCGTCATACAGACACTCACACACTTACCGCCCTCTGTCCACTCAGAACGTACAATCGTGCAGACTTCAATGCAAATGTACCCAAAGCTTGCTCATTATTACAACAGCCCACTCCTTCCTTTTCACAATGTACCAACAACAAAAAAACTGCAACGCTCCATTCCCCCTTGAAAACAAACCACTGACCCCAGCTGTGCTTTCTATGTGCCTTTTTATTACAGCCGCCTTTGTAGCCTACAGCGATATGACCCTCAACGTGGTACAAATTCTCAGTAACAAAACACGTCGTGTCCTGGAAGATGGTGATTTATATAAAGAGAGCATCTTTACTTGATCAGTGGCTGTTGGCAAAAATATAACAGCAAAAATTCATTAGATCTGTATCCTAGGTGGCAGGATGTAAAATTCTGGGTCAGATCACAAACCTTCAGAAAAAGAAAAGCCTGACTCACCTGAGAGTCAGTGCTGTTTTCACTCTAATTAATAATGAAAGATTGCAAGTGCTTACGGGTAGATGTGACAATCATTCATACGCACCTGGCATTACTGAGTCGATCCACACTGGAGCATGACCTCTCAGAGTAAACCCAAAACTCTTCTTACCCCTGTACACACGGATGGTTCTGCAGAGGAAACAAGAGAGGCATTACTGACTGTACTGACTAAGTGTAGGTATGTTAAATACTCACATAATATTCAATACTTGTATTCAAAATGAGAAAATGGCTTGCGCTCGCCTGGACAAAACTTAATGCCACAGTGTTTGGCTGTAGTGTGTGGTTGCTATGCAGTTGCTAAGGTGTTTTGAGTTATTTTTTGATTGTTGCTAAAGTCTTTTGTGTGGTTTCTTACTGGCCCATGTCAAAATAACAGTTGCCATGGTGTTGCTTTGCAGTTTCTAAGGTGTTCTCGGTGGTTGATAGGGCTTTGCTGGGGTGTCCTGGATAGTTACTTATTGGCCCAGGTCATAACACTTGTCATTTGGTGTTCTGGGTGGTTTCTAGGGCTTTGCTGGGGTGTTCTTGGTGGTTACTTACTGTCCCAGGTCAAAAAGTTGTCATGGTGTTACTTTGCAGTTTCTGGGGTGTTTCAGGTGGCTGCTATGGCTTTGCTGGGGTGTTCTAGACAGTTGCTAGGGATTTGCTGGGGTATTTACTGTGGCTACTTACTGGCTAGGTAAAACGCTTGTTGTGGTGTTGTTTTGCGGTTGCTATGGTCTTCTGGTTGGTTGCTAGGTCAACCACGGATGAGCGTGACACATTCGCAGTACCACCTACACGACCCATTCGGTCTCAACATTCACCTTGCATCTGCGCTGTTGTATGCGGACTGTCCACACGGTCACACAAATTGGGTCGTACGTGGACGTCCGCGAACACTTCTGATGATGAAAATTGCGTCACTAAGACAATGCGTGGACCATTGTGGAACGCGGACGCTGAAGTATACTTTGCGCTTTACAGTTGCTACGTTTTTCTGAGTGGTTGATAGGGGGTTGTTAGGGTGTTCTATGTGGTTGTTAGGTGGTTACTTATTGGCTTAAGTCAAAAGAGCACTTGCCAAGGTGTTGTTTTGTGGTTGCTAAGGTGTTCTGAGTGGTTGCTATGGCATTGCTGGGGTGTTCTGTGTGGTTGCTTAGTGGTTCAAGTCAAAAGAGCAGATACCAAGTTGTTACTTTGTAGTTGCTAAGGTATTCTGGGTGGTTGCTAAAGCATTGTTGAGGTGTTATGTGTGATTGCTAGGTGGTTGTTAACTGGCTCATGTCAAAAGAGCAGTTGCCAAGGTGTTGCTTTGCAATTGCTAAGGTGTACTAGATGGTTGTTAGGGTGTTGCTAACAACAGTAACAGTGTTTACTGACAGTATAAGATGAATACATTTCAAAGGCCAATCATCCAAATATTGATTTATCCCAACTTATCCCATACATACTAAACCAAACGAACAAGTATACTGAAGCACCACTTGAAGAGCTATTTAAGAAGAAGATTTAAGATTTCCCTGCTTGTTAAAGAAACCCTATCACATATCATTAGAGCATAGCTAGCCTTAGTGGTTGCCACGGCAACACCTCAAGGAGACGCTGGAACCATTGAGTAAACAGAGATAAGTGAAAGCAGTCTAAACATTTGCTTCTTGTCGCAGTGCCATTTTATATAAGGTGGACCACCAGAACCAAGCACTGATGGTAAATTAGAAAGGAGATGACAGATAAACAAAGACATTAAAAAAATAGAAAACTCTGAATGGGGATTACATAAGGACTGAGCCAAGGAAGCATTCTTTATTGAAGAGCAGCAGCTTATCAGATGAGGAATACAGTCTACAGGGTATCAGCACATCTTTTACACTCTTGCTGTAATATTTAATAACCTAAACACTCTGGGTGACACTTCCCCAGTAATATATTTGATATCATTTTCAATTTACAAATAAAGAATATTGATAGATTGCAATGACATATAGAAAGGAATAAGGTAAATGAGCAAATTTAAAACGAAACGACAAGAGGATCTGCTTCAGTTCTGGCTCAAATTCAGATAAACTGCTTCATGGCTTGAATATGATATGATGGCACTCTAGGTTAAGTCACGATTTTAATGATTAAAATAATGTGATAAGCTGATTATATATCCGGTACTCTAAAACACCCAACCAGTAGATCACAATATGAAAAAGTGCTTGTGATGTGGACAGTACGTGCATGTGTGTGTGTGTGTAAGTAAGCATGAGGCACAGAAACAAACACAACTAAACAGTCCTTCTTTCACCCACCCACACACAAATTCTCCCACATATCACACAGTGTTCTAAGCATTGGAGGAGGCTTCCTGCAGTGTTTTGGGATAAAATTGTCCTTTCAAACCAGCATGGAAGATGAAAAAGCAAATTTTATCATTAAATGAAATAATAGGACACACAAAAAAGGAACACCTATAAAAGAGGTGCGTGATACATACCTCTGGTTGGCTCCAGTGGCATAGTGGCTGGGAATCATGGTGGTGCTTTTCCTAAGGCCACGCTCGGGTTGGGCCGGGTCATCACCTGTATCTCTGGGCACAGAACTGGTCCGTTTTGAGCCTTGAGGACGCTCGTGGTGGTCTTGACTTCGGCTTCGGCGGAGCCTGTTTTGGGGCTCACCCAGGCTCTTGCTACGGCACATGCGGTTGATGAGACTCTGAGAAACTGCCTCGTCAAAGCGCTGCCGATGCTTCTTGGGAATGAAGATCCTGGCAAACATGGTCACAGCAAGGCAACAGAGAAAAAAATCAGCTACGGGGAGCCATCATCATAAAGACTTTATAAAGGTTGCTAGTTCAATTCAGCCAGTCAATTTTCCCATCCAATGGTTTTCATCACGACCCAAAGTGAAGAAGCTTCAGATTTAAGTCCACCACATTCATTCAGGATCACTGTTCAAAATCCATGAAAATATTCAAAGAAAGCCAAGTAATGAAGGCAATCCCGATCTTTCATAGAAGCTGTGAGGAACTCCAACATGTAGCAGCCTCTCTGAGTGCTGTCTTCATCTGAAACTCCCACTCCAGAAGCTCTGGTGCAGACACCAGAATCCAGCAATAGCAAAGGTGTGGGAGTACATCACATTACCGCCTCTCTCTCTTTCTCTTTCTCTCGCTCTCTCTTTCCTCATTCCCTTTTTGCTGTTCCTGATGTTCCGTGCGCTCTGGGTAGAGCATCAAATCTCAGATGCAACAGAGCACATTCAAAACTCGTAGCATGACGTTCAAAATATAATTGAAAAGATTCAGCTCATACTGAATTCAGTGAAAGATTTGAAGCAGGAAAAAATGGCTGACAAAAACGTTTGGGAAAAACATTTGGTTTAGGAGACAAATACAATTTTAACTCTGATAGCTTCACCTTTATAAGATTCTGAATAAAAACAAGGCCATGTTTGTCATATTTATGTAACGTTGGCGGATATGGAAAGGCCTGTTATGCCGCCCACCAGGGAACCACAAAAAGCCCCCAATTGAAAAACCTCGGCAAATGTAACCTTAGAAACCTCGACAAGTGTAACGTCAACACAATTCTGTCTGCTTTGTTCTCTTGAAGGTGATGTACCGACATTAGCATTTAAGATAATTTAGTATGTTTATCAAATAAAAAGCATATTCTTTTTCTGAGTCACGGCATCATTTCTCCTGATATTTGTAGGTCTGTTTTTGTCACTGACTGTATTCATGTAATCAGGCAAATGGATTATGAGCACAAACTAAATGTAATTCATTTTCTTTTCCATAGATCAGACATAATTTTAATATGGAACATATCAGAGTTAGGTACAAGGGCACTATATCTATACTGCTCTTCTGTCATAATTTACTCACTCTCACAAACACAGAGATATTTTTTTAAATATCTGATTTTGTGTACATATAGGTTTGGAATGACACGAGGCTGAGTAAACGAATTTTCATTTTTAGGTGCACTTTTAAGTAAAACATACACATTTGTTTTTCTTAAATTTCCTTTCTTGACATTATACTTCATAACTTTTATAAACACAGTCTGTATCATTCTGAAGGACACAAACACTCTGCACACAGATACTATATAATCGTAACCTGGAAATTTGATTTAAAATGATATAGTTTCACAACATTGTTTTTCTCTCCCCATTGCCTGGATGACAGTATTGACAAAAACACCCCATTAGACAATTCTAGAGTGCAGAGTTGCCTCAGGTTCACATTATTATGGATGCACAGAGAGAGACGGTGACTTAATTGAGTGGCCAATTGCTGCATTAATGGATGCCGTTCCAGACAGCAGTTAAGAATAAAATTAAGTATTACGCGTCCTAAGAGGCCACAAGAGTACAAACCTTAGCCTACCTAGAGAACTAAAGTACTACTGCAAGTTTTATAAATCACAGCATACACCACAGCACATTAACATTTATTGTGCTTTTCTATATTTGCAATGTGAAATTCATTTGCCTGTTTGTTTTTGAGAGAAAAAAATAACTTGAATGGGAAATTTTGAGTAAAGGTTAATATGAGATGCTCTGTTTTGATATTTTAATTACAGACTTTGACCGCATCATTGCAAAACACAAGTATATATATATATATATATATATATAAGTAATGTTTTTAAGAAATTAAAAATAAATACTTTTATTCAGAAAGGATGCACTAAATTGATCAAACGTGACAGTAAAAACATTTAAAATGTTACAAAATATCAGAGTATCTCGAATAAATGCCATTCTTTTGAACTTTCTATTCATCAAAGAATCCTGAAAAAAATGTATCTCAGATTTCACAGAAGCATTAAGCAGCAAAACTGTTTTCACTGTTGATAATAATAAGAAATGTTACTTAGCACCAAATCAGCATATTAGAATGATTTCTGAAGGATCATGTGACACTGAAGACACTGATACTGACACTGAAATGTGGCTTTACCATCACAGGAATAAATTACATTTTAAAATACATTCAAAAATAAACACCGCTATTTTAAATTATATTAATATTTCACAACATTATGGTTTTTACTGTATTTATGATCAAATAAATGCATAAGAGACTTCAATAAAACATTTAGAAATCCTACGACCCCAAACTTTTGAACGGTAGTGTATGTCATTTTAAAATGTTGACTGAAATATCATTCTCTTCTCCAAAGCATTCAGTTTCTTGATGAATAACGAATAACAACAACAATTGAAGATGGCAAAATAGACAGTCACACCTTAAACTGGGTCGCTGTGATTTTGCCAAGTAAGACATGTTCCTGGATCAACATTACTGCCCAAAAATATATATTCTAAACCCAATCACTACCCCTAAACCTAACCCTGCCCAGAATTTATTCCTAAAAACAGTGTGAAATGATAGCTGATTAACAACGGTGTAGAAGCACCTAACCCTGATCATCTAAAACCGATATTTCCTGAAAAGTTATCCCTCAATTCTGATTGGTTAATTGGAATGTTGTTCCAGGATCAACAAGGATGTTGATCCAGGAACATGTTGTACTTGGTGAAATCACGGTCACCCCTTAAACTGACCAACTATAGCTCGTCATGTGGCCTAAATAAGGGATTTCTAGAAATTATGACAATTGTGGCCAGATATATCTTTAGTGCCAACTAAAAGAGCTTATTTAAAGCTGCAGTCCGTAACTTTTTTGTGTTCAAAATTTACATAATTTATATAATAAGCGAGTAAACCATGAATCCATTTTCCAAACCGTGTTTTTGGCTTGTCCTGAATCACTATGGTACACCTATAATAAGTGTTTATATTCAGACTATTTTAGACTGGTTCGGGTATGTACCGCTGCGGAGTAGCCCAGTACATGCGTGATTCGTCATAGACATAAACAGAGAGAAGTATCTCTGGCAACAATGTTTTTCTACAAAAGACGCACGCAGTTCTGTTTATTAACCGCAAGAGCGCCAAAAGTTACAGACTGCAGCTTTAAATTAAATTGGGAACTGGCTAATGTCCCAGTAGGCCAATGCAAACTGAATCTACCCAGACGCTTGTATCTCCAAACACACTGTTCCTCAATCAACATCTCAACTTACCAATACAACTAAAAAGTGGTTGTGTATGTAGAAAAATATTATTGTATTGCAATAAAACAGTATTTTTTTTATTTTATTTTGACAGTAAGGACTCTATGCTCTCTTTATAATTTAAAATGCCAAAAGACCTCTGTCTTTTATAATTTGCAGAAATAAATTAGACATTATTTAATATATTACAAAACAGAATTAAATTAGTTGTAACAGTAGAATCCATAGACATTAAAAAAAAGAAATCTGGTAACTGAAATTGCAACATCCAAAAATAAGAACATAATCTCCAGCCTTCAATAATTTGTGTTTGCTCCATTTATGTTAAATTATGTTGTGGTCTGAGAACCAAAGGTGCAATAAAAGACTAACTTTAAAAACACATAGAACACTTTCTTCATATTCATAAACCTTGTTAACACATAGATTTACAAATGCACGCATGCCTTAAAAGAGAATACCTGCTTCCTTTGCTCGGTGGAGTATTCTCGAAGGGCTTTTGTAGTCAATAATGAGATGGTTCGAAACTGGTTGATGTTTTTCGAGTTCTCCTCTTTAGGAATCCACACTCCCTCAGCACACCTCCACTGGTCAGCAACTCTTCCTCTTCGCCAAATCACCTTCAAGATCTTCCACAGGTGCCGGAGAAGGTCTGGGCAGCACTTATAAACCAAATAAGGTACACCACTGGGGCCTGGAGTAGATGCTGAGCGAGCTGCCTTGATGATCTCCTCAACCTCCTTCAGACTTGGCCCCTTCAAGTTGAACTCTGTTGTTGGAGGGGTGGGGCTGACGAGAGCTTTGTTGGGCTCCAGGTCTTGCTCTCTCAGGGAATCGCTCACTGTGTCCTGGAGGAAGCGATTCACTTCCTCTATTGAGCACTCAAGCTGTATATTGAAAGATGAACTAAACGATTACAAAATAGCGAGCCAGCAAAAAAGAAAAACCATTAAAAAGAAGTCCAAAATATGAAATTCAAAGGATGATATTGATAAAAGACATGGCGGAAATAGGATTAACAGGACGTGGATCGAAGGACATAGGCTTCTGGAATGCAGCAGGAGCAGACAAGGAATTAAATATTTGATTGATTTTTTGACTAAGACGGGACTAACAGCAAGAATATGAAAAACAGGATACTGTATATTGGAAGTAATTAGCTCCAGAAGATGGCGGTAATGCAACACAAAGGATGCAAACTATATTAGAAACCTAAAGAAGAAGAAGAAGAAGAAGAAGAAGAGAAAAAAACTCTGGCCCTGCGAATCAGTGTGTTCATACTATCCATCCTAAATAGTATGTGAGATTAGAATAAGTCTGTCCCAAAGCATAGTATGTTGAAAACAGTATGCCAAAAGTCCCCGGATGGTCTACTATTTCAGGTCGATTTTTGAAGTGTGGGATCCGTGCACACTCTAATGGCTGATATTGCCCACAATCCATTGCGCTTTGGTGAAGGACCCCGGATGGTCTACTATTTCAGGTCGATTTTTGAAGTGTGGGATCTGTGCACACTCTAATGGCTGATATTGCCCACAATCCATTGCGCTTTGGTGAAGGACTCTGTCCAGAACTACAAACACGAATAAAACGTGTTAAAAACTACAAACATGGCGGATGTGCGCGACCGGTGGATAGGTAGAGAGGCTTAGAAAAAGGGGTTTGAGTTATTAATATTCAACATTTAACCTGGTAAAAAAATATTTATTTAATATTATCTGTGTTATATTTCATCGGCAACAGCAGTGTAAACTTTTATAAACATCCGTTTGGTCGTTGACTTTTAAATACATCATGCATAAAATATGAGCAGAGTTCTCGGCATGAAAGACCGCGACTGGCAGATCAACAAGCTACTTCTTTTCTCTCCATTATGGTAGGAAGTTTTTTATTATTATTTTTTTTATTATTAATTGTATATGCTGAACAATTAACATTCAAAAGTATAACAAAATGTTACAAACATGGTGTTC